GAGGTACTTGTCCCAGTTTTCATATGATGCATGAGGTACTTGTCCCAGTTTTCATATGATGCATGAGATACTTGGTATCCCGTTTTCATATGATGCATGAGATACTTGGTATCTCAGTTTTCATATGATGCATGAGATACTTGGTATCTCTGTTTTCATATACATCATGGATTAATAGCATTAATTGGTGTCTAAGCTCCTGTACAAAAACAATTAAAGGATAACAGTATGCTTGGTGTTGACAAAGTAAATGTATTAATTGCTTAAAAGTTTAACTGATCTGTCATCTAATTGGTTCTTATGAGTTCTTGCCTTCTGTTATATTTAATAATGCAGAAAAGAATAAACTTTACACTGATGTATTACCGATACATAATATGTTGTTTTTAAACAAGTGTCTTTTTTGTGTATGTTTCAGCATCCTGTCAGTGTGGAATTCTATTTGAATCTGATGTGGCTGATTACCCAAACATTGTTCAGTTGTGTGATATGCTAAGCATTGGAGATGTTTCTCAGTCTCATTTGAAGAAGAAGAAATTTCAAAAGAATGTGGATGGCCCGCTAAGAAAAATTGAAAAGTGTAAAAGAGAACTGCCAAAGTTTTGTGAACAGGAATTGAAAAGAGTTGCACTTTCTGGAACATTACTAGGAGGACTGAATGAAAAACAGGTGAACATTTTACATTCTTGCTCAAAGCAAACAGACGAGAGAAGAAAATTGAAGCATAGGAAACATTATTCATATGGAAATCGCAAAGACCGTAAGAAAGATTTTAATTATGTGAAGGCCATCTTTTTAACCGTAGTATTATGTTTGGAGTTTTATTTGATCTGGCTCTGGTTTTGGTAACATTATTATGCAATGAAATATATCCTTGAGTTTCTTTTAATAAGAGTTTACATTGATTTCTAATATTTAACATAAAAAAGTAAAAACTATCAATTCAAGGTATTTCAATATGTTTGACATTGCATTGTGTCAATATGTCCCAAAATATAACAAAGAATCTACATTTTGAATGTGATAGGGGGGTTAATGAGTTCTTGTAAAGTAATTTACACATTGTGCACTTGCAATCCCACTTGATCTTGAAGTTATTAACACTAATGTAAACATCCAATCCCATTTAACTTTGTGTGTGTGTTATAAATATAATTTAAGGAAAACAAGAGACATGTTTATCCATCTAGTCTATCCAAACCACTAAATTAAACTCTAAAATAAAACAGCCAGACCTTATCATTCAAGTATTTATTAAGCCTTCTGTTAAACTCCATTACATTAACTGCATCCATTCCAAAGGCCACCCTATTAGAAAAATAAAGCTTAGGAGACTCCTACCCTGCCAAAATTAATATTTGTGTTCTCTAGGCTTATGATTCTCAACATTAAGTACCAAAGAAATGATACATTAACACTATCAATTCCCTTAACAATGTTAAACACCTCAATCAAATCACTTTTAACTTTTCTATCTTCAAGAGGAAACATTTCAAAGATCTTAACTTATCCTTGTATAACATTTCCATCATAGGTATCCTCCTCTGAACTCTTTCCAACAATTTAATGACCTCTTTAAAGTAAGAAGTTCAAGACTGAATACTACTTTAAAGGTAGCCTAACTATTGACCTTTATAATGGTATTATAACCTCTTTAGACTTGTATTTAATATTTCTGTAGATACAACCTAAAATATTTTGACCTGCCATTAGCAACAACATTCTGCTCAGATGGTTTAAGGCTGATCAACCAGAAAAACCAAGATAATTTTATTTCATAACATTGTTAAGATTATTTCCATAAAAATTATAATTCAAGTTATGTTAACCCATATAAATTACCTTGCATTTATTGTAATTAAAAACTATCTGCCATTTATTTGCCTAACTCACCAAATGATCTAAGTTTTTGTAAAATAGCAGCATCCTCCTCACAGCCAGTACCACCCAAAACTTTAATATCATCAAAACATTTAAATAGTTTATTAACCATTCCTTAATTTATGTGATTGGAATAATTCAAAAAGAGCAACGGATCTAACACTGATCCCTGAGGTATCCACTTGTAACATTAATCCAATAGAATATAGACATGCAATCCAACTTACCTTTATGTTGAAATTGATTAGTACTGAGTAAATGTGCAATCCCACACTTCTTTCTGTTGAAGTTGATTAGTACTCAATAAACATGCATACAATCCCACTTAACCTTATTCTCAAGTTAGAGTAACCCTTTCTTGTATAATATTTCTATCATAATGAAAGAAACAAAATGTAATCCATTGAATGCCAACATATAAAGATTGACCCAGTGTTATACCATCATTCCCTTTATACTAAAACAAAAGAAACAAAATATAATTTATTGAGATTGTGATGTGTCAAGTCTAGCCATATGTTATATAATCGCCTTTTAACTAAAATAAAAGAAGCAAAATAAACATGTAGTAGCTTGTTTTAAAGTCTGTATTTTTTGTTTGAGAAATTGATGTGATTGATATCAGGTAAGATATGAAAAATTATACAGATATGATGTAGGATACGAGGAAAGTGATTTGTTTCATATTGGAATAAGATTAAGTAAATGTGTTTTGAGCTGAATAAAATGGAGTAATTTCCTTCCATTCTGTTTTGTATTTATAGAAAAGATATTTCCGAGATGATAACTCGGCTCTCCACATAGATTAGCTATCTTCCTTGTGCATCTGCCCCAAAGAGATTTGCATGCCTTGAGGCAACTCCCACCTCATTTCATGTAATTTTATGTGAATTGTGCTACTGCATGATGACATCATCAGGTGATGAAACCCTCCACCAATAGGAGAGTGACACTCCCCCATGCATACTAACTCCCTTTATACATATGCACTCATGAATCTTCATTATTTTCTTCAGCACTGTAAAGCACAGAACGTTTAAATTCCTTGTTTGTTTAATTTATTGAGATTTGCATCATTAATGAATCTTTGATTTTGTTTTCTTTAGCCTTTGTTTCCTCAATCTTCTTCTCTTCACTGTTCTTCCCATTCTTTTCTCCTCCATTCTATCTGATCTATGGTCTTTTTCACCTGGTTTACGATTGGCCCTGGTTGGTGTGTTTGACACCTTCCTACTCTGTTGGGCATGTTCCTATTCCTGTCCTTAGTGATGAATCACTTGGTCATGGTCTCCATTCAGCCTATTCCATAGTCTTTTCCAGCACTGACCATCTTTGTGGCTCCTGTTCCAGGGTCTTTTTTATTTTGGGCATTAACCATACACTTCTGTGCCCATTCACATCCTTTGTTAAAAGCTTTAGTCTTGGTGGATGGCTGGCTCTATCTAGGCCAGTCCATATTCTATCAACAGAATAGCCTCTTCACCCTCATATCTTTTTGGGGGGTTTACCCTTGGTTGGACACATCCATCTTGGATTATTTTATCACTTGAGCTTCCTCTCTTATAATCCTCTACTTCTCATCTTTAGGCTCTGGCTGTTGATTTCTCAGCCAGGTCTGGTCGTACCTCTTTCTCTGTACATACTCCCCTATTCTTCTTCTCCTTCTAGGCCTCAGATTTACACACCACTTCTTGAACCTTGTTATTGGTGCATGTTTGACCAACTTAGTCTTGGTATACTTGATACTTGAACCCCCCCCCCATTACCCCTTCTCTCTCTCTTGCTTCTCACACTTCCCTTCTTCATAGAAGGGAATCCTCCCTCCACCATCATGCATGGAATTTGCCCAGTATGTCAACTATAAGGAAAGACTTTCTACTAATTGTGGCATTATTCTTGTCAATCTACTGTATTTGTCTGTCTCCATATGTGATGGGTCTTTTGTCATTGGTCCTTCCACCACCTTTTTTTCTATCTGGTAGTTATTCTGTGCACCACCTTTCTGCCTTTCTTACCCAATTGTTCATTAATAGATTCTTGGTCTCAGCCTTTCCTAGTTGTCAGGTGGCTTTATTAATGGCCTATCTCCTTTCCCAGAACCAAGAGGTGATTAATCATCTGTCCTCTCCATTCTTTTCTGCTCCTTCATTCTCCTCAGTCCTCTTCACCCAACTCTCTTGCTGACCTGAGATCTTAATTAGGTTTTGTATGATCTTGTGCATGCTCCATTCAAACTCTTGACTTTCTGGCTTTTGTACTGTCTTTTCCTTCTACTTCTCTCCTATGAATACCGTTGTTCTGATGTCTTTCCTTTGGATGTTTCTCATAACCTTTTCCACCACACTTATTTTTACCTCTCCACGGACCAATCCATTCATCATTACATTTTGACAACTCGGGAAGTACACTGTACTTCTCTCTTATCTCTCTTTCTTTTGTCTCTCACCTATTGGACCATTCACACCTCACTATACTCTGTGTCTTGTTGGGCAGTTGGTGTGCCTTATCACTTATCTCTACCTTTTAAGGATCCCTGCCTTCATCTGTCCCTATTCTGGAAGGCTTTTTTTTTTCCTTGGACATCTTTCCTTCTTCCCTTATGGAGATGGGTCTGTCAACTCCTCTGTTGACCTGTTTGTCTCAGGATGTGGATGCTTTGGATTTGATTTGTCACTTTTTTTGGTCTCTTACATTTCTTCTTTGATAGCCCTTTAACAAGCTCCTTCAGGCAGGCAGGTACTTTCTCCAAACATTCATCTTCTTCTTTACACCTTCTGTCTGTTTTATCTCCTGATGGTGTTTTTTTTTACTTCCACAGGTCACCATTCTTCAATCACTCCACCATGTCTGAGAAGAATATGTACTATTTCTCTTTCAGGGCCCCTCTTTCGTTACATATGATTCTTCCAGGTGACTGGTGGTGCCTCTCAGGTTTTACTTACCCAATATCTGCATTGAGCCAAGATAATGGAAAATGCTCGTACCCAATCTATCAGACAGAATCCAAATGCCAATGTCAGTCTAGTCAGCCATCATGGAAAATCATAAAAAATCAAATAAAGGTACAAAGCTGAGTGCTTACACCCACAACATCTCAGCTTCTATTGCCTTTCACTGGTTATAGTCAGTTGTGGGAAGGCAGTTACCCTTAAATTTCTTAAAGTAAAAATGAAGCCACCATAATATTTCTACTAATTAAACCATCATGTATCTGTGTATCATGTTAAAAGGTATTCTCAACTATCACGGTTCTTAATAGTCTGTAATAACTATAATGGTTTTTATGGATAATATGCCATTATTAAAAAATAAACTGAAAGATAATGGCTATAAAGACAAGCAATTAAAGAAATAGCTTACTTTTATAAATTAAACTATCAATTAAGGAAAATATTTTGTAAAAATAAATAAAATAAAGAGGGAGTTATTTACTTTAACTTATAAGTAGCTAATAGCAATTTTTCAAGTAATTTTATTTAGTATAACCAGGACCGAAAGACTGACTTCAAGTAGCTTGGCTTGTCTCAGCATTCCCATGTTATACTTGGATAAATATTCAGGAAAAAGGGAGGAGGTTGAGAGTAACAAATTTTAAGGTAGGGTTTATAGATATATTTAGTTATATTTAATATCTTATATTTCTATTCAATATTTTGTAGTTATATTTAATATGTTTTGTAAGGGTGCAGGTTTGGAGTTTAATTATTATAAATATTATGGTGGCTTCATTTCTAATTTAAGAAAATGCAAGGGTAACTGCCTTCCCACATCTGGCTATAGATAGTGAAAGACAGTAGAAGCTGAGACATTGTGGGTGTAAATCACTCAGCTTTGTACCCTTACTTGATTTATGATTTTCCATGACGGCTGTCTAGATTG